GGTGATGGGAGCCCCCCCACCCCAGCCTTGTGCACCCCTCCAGCTTCGGAGAGGCAGCTCCTCGTCTCCCGCAGGGAGCAGGGTTTGGGTTTCTGGCATCTCCCCCCAGGATGTCACCTCCCCAAAAGCAAGGGGAAAAAAATCCTGCCCCCTCCTCACCCATTTCCCCACCTCGCCTTGACCGTTAAAGCCCAGTATTTCCCAGCGAGGCGAGGAATTGGTGTCCCTTTGCCCCAAATTTCATTGCGTTACGGATGATGCCCTGCCAGCTGCCACCACGCTGGGCTTTCCAGCCTCCTCAAGAAGCTGAAGCAAAACCTACCAACTCCGAGGGTGGAAATGTGATTTTTGGGAGGGGGACCAGGCTTTCGCTGGGCGAGCATCGCGCCGAGCTGGGTTGGAGGGATTCACTCGAGTTGGCACTCCGAGCCGAGGCCTGTCATCATCCACTGGCCGGTCTAGTTGGTTCTTAACCAAACGGGCTCTGACAATGCAATTTAATAAGGAGCTACTTTGCCTCCGGGGATGGGAGCGAGCAATATGGTGCCTCGACATGTGAAAGGCAAGTCCTGTTTGCTCTGAAACCATCTGGGTGAAGGAGGGAGGCTGGGAGAAATGGTTTTGGCTCGGTGCTTGGGCTGTTCGACCCTGTCATCCCCATCCCACCCTGCCCGGGGGGGTGCTTGATGGAGGGGGGGAGCTTGGAGTGCTCTGACCTGATGATGAAGGCTCCTCTGGTCTCCAGGAGTTTCCGTTCGCTGCTGAAGCGCTTGAGGAGGTTGATCATGAACTTGTAGAAGTAGGAGTTCATGGTGGGGGTGGAGGGGGAGCACTCCAAGCCTTTGGCACCTGGGGAGGCAGGGGAAGGGGAGAGCAAATTAGAGTGGCGGGGGTCCCCCTGCCACAGAGGAGACTTTACAGAGCAGACACCCCAAAATATGGTTATAGCACTGAGCAGAGGAGGGTTGGGGGCATGAAAAGAAGATTTCCAAGCCTCGAGTACCAGCATCTGCTTGCTCCAAGCAGAGCCAGCCCTGCTGCAGCTCTCCCCATCCCAGGGGAAAGTATCCCGTGGTGGTCTGAAGCAGCACATGGGGGGGAAAGGGGCTTTTTTGGGAGATATCCCAGAGCCCTTCAGCTTCAGTAGCTGATAGAAGGGGTGCCCCAGGCTCTAAATCGATGGGTGATCCCGTCTCCTCAGATACGGGATGTACACTCACCCCAAAAACCAGCTTGCCACTGAGCTGAAGAGCCTTTAATCCAGCCCCACGTGCCAGATGCCCGAGCACGCAGCAGCAGACACACACATCCAGCAGCAGACACACACATCCAGCAGCAGACACACACGTCCAGCCCTGGGTCACGGCATGGCCACCAATTTACACTCGGTGACACGATTTTCCCTGAGCAGGGGCCACTGGGTGCATCAGTGTCACATACAAGGTGCCCCAGGGCTCAGCTAAACCACGGCAGAGCCCCAGGCTTAGAGACTGGACCAAAAAATGTGCTGTTTTGTTCACTGTTTGCAAAAAAACCCACCCTTTAAAACAAAAGCAGCTGAAGGCTGGGGAAGGGGCACGAAGGAGCAGTGCTCCCTCCAGCCTGGAGCATCCCTGCTTCTGCTGCAGCCACCGTTTCTGCCCAGAAGGCAAACAAGGCTTTGTTTGGAGGCAGTTTCCATCCTTTCTAAGTCTCAAAGGCAGAATAATAAAGGTCATGAGGGTGGCTGGGACTCTCTGAGCAAGGAGGGTGCAGGAAAAGCCCCGGTGGGAGGGAAGGTGAGGGTGTGAAAGCAGGGAGAGAAGAGAGATGGTGTGTTTCAGAGAGCCCAGATGTGCTCCGACCCACCCAGATGTGCTCCAACCCACCCATACCCAAAGCCCCTCAAGCCTCTGAAGCTCCTTCATGTTTCCATGCTTCACCTGGGGCTGGAGGCTTTCCAGTGGTACGGTGAAGGGACGCTCTGCACCCTCCTGTCACCCGGAGCTCCAAAACCCTCTGCTCAACTCCTCTGCCAAACGGCCAGCGTCCCCCCGGGCACCTCTCGGGGCCACAAATCCCCTCTTGAGGAGCTCCTGTTGCTCATTTAACAGCAAGACCTTAAACCAGGTGGTAACGACCACGAGATGCTGCCACAGACAAGCTCTCCCTGCTGCTCAGTGAGATCCTAACGGGGTCTGACAGGAATTGGAGGGCATGCAGCTGGGGAAGGGGTGGCAAAGGGGCATCTCCCAGCTCAGGGGACGCGGGGAGGGTTAGAAAAAAATACCCCTTCAAACCTACAGATGCCGGGAGCAGGTGAAGATTGCTTTTCCCACAGCCAAACGGTGGGGGAGAGGGTTTATTTAGCAGGACGGCGCTCAAAGCAAATGTTTGGAGAGAGGGTTTGAAAGAGTAGTTTGCAGTGAGGGGAGCTCCCTCCCTCAGCTTCTCCGGTGGAAAGACCACGTCTAACCCTGGTAAGAAGTCAGCACACACCAAGGTTATTCCCTCCCCCCTTCCTCCCCATCCTGAGAACAGCCAGTATTTCCATCAGATCACCGAAGGAAACCCAAAGAGTTTGATTTATGAACGCTGTCTGCTTCCTACTGAGACTCAGCAGAGCATGGAGCAGCCAATTAAAGACGCAATCAAGCCCAGGGACACTGATGGAAAAGCCACTGGGCTCTTTTCTACCCGACTCGTCCCGGTGACACGCAGAGATACAGAGGTGGGCTCAGCCAGGGTTCAGATGTAGCATCTGAAGGAACATACACAGCCGAAGAAAAAGGAAAATTAAACACGGGGGGGATCTGGACCAGAACCTGGTGGCTGGGGCCATGTGGTCACCCTGAGCCCAAAACCCCAAACCAGGCATCTCCCAGAGCACAAGTGTTGGCCGTAGCATCCCTCAGCTGTGGGGAAGATGATCCGGGTGAAAAAAATACAGAAAGAAAAGAAAAAAGGATCCAGCCGAGCCGATGAGCTCCAAAACCAAAGGTGGGTTTGTTCGAGGGCAGGGAAGACCCGAGGTGAAAACAGGCAGAGCCTCAAAAGCAAGTGCTGGTTTTCTTTCTGGTGCCGAGGGTGGGGAGGGGAGGTGAAGAGCAGATGGAAACCATCTTTCAAAGCTGCAAAAGTGGAGTTTCTCCCTTCTCAAGACCCCAAAAATCATCAAGGATGGCATTAAGTCTCTCTACAGACAGACTACGCTACTAGCAGTGGGCCCAGGTGGCCAAGAAAGCCAATGGCACCCTGGCCTGTATTAGAAATGGTGTGGCCAGCAGAAGTAGGGAGGTGATTGTCCCCCTGTACTCAGCACTGGGGAGGCCACACCTGGAGTGTTGTGTCCAACTTTGGGCACCTCAATCCAAGAGAGATATGAAGGTGCTGGAGAGGGTGCAGAGGAGGGCAACGAAGCTGGTGAAGGGTCTGGAGAAGAAATTGTACAAAGAGCGATTGAAGGAGCTGGGACTGTTTAGTTTAAGGAAGAGGAGGCTGAGGGGAGACCTCATCACTCTCTACAGCTACTTGAAAGGACATAGAGAGGTTGGTGCTGGTCTCTTCTCACAGGTAATTAGCGATAGAACAGAAGGGAATGGCTTCAAGCTGCAACAGGGTAGGTTTAGAGTGGCCATTAGGAAACAATTCTTCACAGAAAGAGTGGTCAGACCCTGGAAGAGGCTGCCCAGGGAGGGAGTTGAGTCACCATCCTTGGATGAGTTTCAGAGTCGTTTAGATGTGGTGTTGGGGGATATGGTGTAGGAGAGAACTTTGTGGAGTGGGGTTGACGGTTGGACTCGATGGTCCCAAGGGTCTTTTCCAACCTGAATGATTCCATGATTCTACAATTCCTGCCCACCGCTTCCTCTGCATGGCAAAGCCAGCTTGGTACCTTATCACCTCTTGGCATGCCTTCCAGTGACAGCCAAAACCATTACACGCCCCAAAATGCCTCCCAAGGGAAAAAGAGGAGGTGGCAGCAACTTTCCTTCTCCCTGAAAGGTCCCAGTGCTCCTGTCACTGGGGCACGGGCAGCACAGGGCAAAGCTGTGTGGCTGGGAATGATGGTACAAGACAGAATCACAGCATCACAGAATCTTCTAGGTTGGAAGGGACCTCAAAGATCATCTTGTCCAACCGTCAACCTCACTGACAAAAATAGACACCCACACAACAAACAAGGAGCATCATCACTAAACCAGACCTCCCAGCACTACATCAACCCCTCTTTTGAACACCTCCAGGGATGGTGCCTCAACCACCTCCCTGGGCAGCCCATTCCAATGGCTGAGAACCCTTTCAGGGAAAAAATTGTTCCTAATATCCAGCCTGAACCTCCCCTGGCGCAACTTGAGGCCATTTCCTCTCGTCCTGTCGCCTGTGACTTGAGAGAAGAGACCGACCCCCACCTCTCTACACCCTCCTTTCAGGGAGTTGGAGAGAGCAAGAAGGTCTCCCCTCAGCCTCCTCTTCTCCAGGCTGAATAACCCCAGCTCCCTCAGCCTCTCCTCATAAGACTTATTCTCCAGACCCCTCACCATCTTTGTCGTCCTTCTCTGGACCCGCTCCAGCACCTCCAACCAGCCAGAAGCACCCTCAGATCCACGCTCCCAAGGTGGTGCCCCATCTCCCGCATCTCAGACTGGAGACTTGTAAGGACCTGCTGGGTTAACTGGGTTTCCAAAAAAACCCAGAATGACCTTAGAGATAAGATCTCGGCTGCAACCTGCAGGACGACCAACCTCCAGCCTCATTATCTTCCTTCATCAACTTGCTCCCAAACCAACCAGAATGACCTTAGAGATGAGGTCTCGGCTGCAACCTGCAGGACAACCAACCTCCAGCCTCCAGCCTTGTTATCTTCCTTCATCAACTTGCTCCCAAACCTCTGACCCTCCTGTCCAGCCTGGAGGAGGCCGGGCAGCGGGTCAGGGAGCTGGGAGCAAGGAGGAACCAGGACGTGGAGATGGCAAAATCAAATCTTAGCCTTGTTTTTTTTTTTCTTTTTGGGAGAGAAAAACATGATGTGACTGTCTGTGCACCCCAGGGAGCTGCTTCATCATCCTTTGCCTCTGGGCGCATCGAGAGGGAACTCAAAAGGGATGGGTTCTCCCTCTCCTGCCCACCCGGCGCCTGCGTGTCCCTAAGGAAAGTTTCCGCCGCGGCACGCCGTGCTGGACCAGCTTTGCCAGTAGTGCCCTCCAGGGATGACTCCGGGGTGGAGGAAGGTGAGAACCCAGCCTGTGGGAGTCTCCCAGGCTGCAAAACCTCCACCAAATCTCAGCGGGAGCTCAAAAAGGGGCGAGACATCTTCCAAGGAAGGCAGAACTATTTCTCTTACAAAACCTCCCAATCCTCCCAACTTCCAAAACGATGTGTTTTTTTTAACGGGATGTGTCTGGGAAGTGGCTGGCACCTCGTTTGCCACCGTTGTTACCCTTCCCAGTGTAGCCTGGAGTTCACCTCAAAGCCCTTTTTTTTGGGTGATAGCTCAGCGTGGCGGCGGCGGCATCCCCCGGCTCGGCAGAACCGTAGGAGCAGCTTGACAAAAAAGTGTTTCTAGGAAGCGCGAGAGACGAGCAGAGGGAGAAAGTGTTATGAAAACTGTGCGGCTTAATTAATTGAAGCTTGCACCTCTCCCTGCTTTCCCCCCCCTCCCTCCTCCTCCCCGGAGCGAGATTTTGCAGCTCCGTAACCTGCCAGATCGGCTGCGAACGTCCCCGGAGCGGGGCTGGTGGCACGTCACGGCTCTGCTGCCTTTTTTTTCTTTTAAGCTGGAAGGAAAAAAAAGATTCCTGCTCAGAGGAATGACGAAACCCAGCCCAGATATCAGCTATCATGGGAACAAATGGGAATTTTGAGCCCCC